CACCAGAGGTTGGGCCACAGAAAACATGAAGGCAATACGATACGGGCAAGCAATGTCGAAAGCCGGGAGCATGGAGGATCCAATGTAGAACAGAAATGTAAGAGCCGTGATGACTGAAATAATCCAGCATATTGGGGATGACAATTGAGAGACATAAAGAGCAAGTCCAACGAGGAAAATGGCAACTGAGCTATGTAGGATCATTGGAAGAGTCTCAATGATGTCGCCGAGTTTCCATTTATCAAGTCCCTGGAAGCGAAAATGGCGGGTGAGAGCACGGGTCCTGGCACCACCAGGAACAATTGCAGCATATGCCTGGTTCATGTCAGATGAATGAGCGCGATTAAGCAGAAATAAGTGTATAGACCTGAATCCATTGTTTGGCCAGAACAGTCAGAAGGGCAGTCGACAACGCGAGAGCGAGACTGGTGAAAAATAGTCCGTTGACCCATAAATCAATCGAAGAGCACGTTCGGCTTCCAGGATGTAGGGATGCTGCAGGAACAGCGCTGATACTGGTTCTATTTCCAGCGGCTCTCAATAATTGATTGGTTTCGAAGAGGAGCGATGCCGTAATCTGCGCGCTATCCGGCTGAAGTGCTTGAGATGTTTGAGCGACAAATGTTGTGACAACTCCTGAGAACAGGGCGGCCTGATTTGGATTCAGCCTGAGGGTGAGAAGGAATACATGTTCTTCGACAACTCACGAAAACTAAGAGACCGTCAATGATGTTTCGAAATCCTTGAATCATGTCTGCGTCGTGGTTCTCTGCTTCATCGAGATATACCTTCCAGACCCGCGCATTCTCACTTGTTTCTTTTCCAGGCTTTTCGGGGCTGTATCTCGGTGTAATCGTAATTACGACCAGCTGAGAACTATTGTCAGAAGCAATTCGTCGAACAGATGATATGATAGCTACCAGAGTTCGTGGTGCCAAAGGTTGCGGGTTCCGATGTATGCAAGAGGTCCGGCATTAGAAGAGTAGGAGAGGATGGAAGGCAAGTCCTAGTGATGAATCTCACAGCAACTCACAGCCTGCAGTCTTCGGCAAGATCACGATGACAGGAACAATGATCAGATCATGAGAGTTTCCAATCCACCCAAAGAGGTTAGAGTTGGAGGTATCAAATCATGCATGGAACAATTGGGGACAGCACACTGCTCTGCCAGTGCACAAGTGAATTTGAACGTGAACCAGGCAGGTTCTTCTGACTTCGGATCCTGAAGTGTGTTCGGAATACATTTCAGCAATATACAGTTCAGTCATTGCAAACCTCATGAGTCCAACCTGTGCCTCTAAAAGAGCCGAAAACCTAAAAAGAAGCCCACGAGAAGGAGACTTGACGACAGTGAGATTCGAACTCACGCCCCGAAAGACTAGATTCAAACATTCCTCTCGAATGAAGATAACCTGATTCTAGCGCCTTAGACCGCTCGGCCATGTCACCTGACAGTCAGTGTTTTGGTTGAGAGGGGATCGGGAAGATCGTGTTGCCGATCGCGAGAGTTTCAGTGATTTTCATCTCCGACTTTCAAGCACTCCTTTCCAACTCCTCGGGGTACCTTGCACATAGCAAGCTCGAGCGATTGCAGCAGGTTCAAGATTTCGTCTCCCGATGTGTCTCCCTTTCACCAATTCTATTGTCCGTTCAATCCATCATCCATCATGCCTTACATTCAACTCCCGTCGTCGGAATATCTAGTTCTGAGATATGAGTTTCAAGTCTATTTTTAAGTCACCACCTACTTTGCACATAACAGAACGCAGAACGCAGAACACAGCGCGGACACTTTTGAGTCATCAATGACGCTGCCAAGGTCTGCCGAGCCTGTTTATGCGATTCTCTCACCCCGTCATCTGAGGGTGCGCTCCAAGTCTAGGACTTGTTTTGTCCTCGTAATATGCTCAGGATAGTACTACTGCACCTCTTACACACGCGAAATAAACGTCTCTCTTCTCCGATTCCAAGTATTCGACTACCAGTGGGTTATCTATGCCACAATTGTGATTTGTGAAAACGCCGATCTCTCCTACAATCCCTTCCAGTTCAACATCAACTCGGAAGGAAATTCCTAGCTTAAACTTTGAGTACCTGATTGTGGCATGTCGCCTTACGGTGGACACAGATGTTCCTTGGAACCGATGGTCTGGGCCACAATGCATGATGGAGAGTCTAGACGTCAGGCCTAACTAAAGATCTGCTCGGAACACATGTGTTCTTGAGTTGCTTTTGTAATTTTGTTTCTGTTTTGCACTCAATTTACTGTGCCGTGTCCTTCAGAGCTAAAGTAAAGCTTCAGCTTCCCGGCCGAATATCTTGGTTCAGCCATGGCTACAATGTGGACTGGAAAAAGATAGGAAAGACATCTGCTTGGAGTGTGATGTCGACGCGCGCATTTGTTGTCGAGTCGAGTTTTTTTGGTTTTCATTCAATTACCTTGACTAGATTGCTTGCACTGACAGTGAACGAGTCATCTCACCCTCCATATCCCACCTGTTTGATGCAACATATTTGTATTTTCCGAGAGTTGACAAGTTTGACTTTACGTTGCACATTTGTCTATCACTTGCCTGCACCCTTTTCCCTATAAGTACATTCTCGATTATACAATAACTATCTCGAATTTAAATTTCCCTGTGAACCACCACGAAAAATCGCAAATAATGAAAGAGATTAATGAACAAAAGTTAGAGAACCCAGAGCTTATGGTGCCCTTTCGTTCGGGGTGGGAGATGTCCTCGTGTATGGTCGGAACCTAACAGTTTGATAATGTTCCAAGTGGTCGGCGACCGTGACTTTGTCAGTATACTCACTTGCAGCAGTGCGTGCAATGTCGATAGGTGTCCTCCCGTCTTCATCTTCGGCTGTTCTATCCCATCCACGATCCAGCAAAACATTAATGAATGGCAGACCTGTGTCGAAGCCTAGATTGATATTCTGATACCACCACACTGCTTGATGGAGTGCGTTGGAGGGTGGATCGGCACCATGGTCCAAAAGGCATGCCACTATGTCGGAGTTACCGGACTGAAATGCGAGATCAAGTGGTGTGGCGGATCTAGGAGGATTTGTTATGATAGACATCAGAGCTGGCTCTCGTTCAACAAGGGCAAGAACCCCGCTAAGATTGCCCAAGTCGACTACGTAATGCACAGCGGTCCAATTTTCGGAATCACGATGGTTGAGATCCATTCCTCGATCCACTAAATCATGAATGTCCTCTCCATCCCCATTCTCTGCACAAGAGAACAAGATCTTCCTGCAGTATTGAGATTGAGATTGAAGTAGGTTGGGACCAGTCCAATCCAGAATGCACTGGGCTAAGGCACGATACTTTCTCCTGAGTGCCTTAGTATAAGCATTAAGCAGCGCATCTTCAATCTGTTCTTGCCAATTCAAAGCAATAGGTGGATCTAACAGGGATTTGGTGTAAAATATCTTCATGAGATTTCCAATCAGTCTGCCGAATGTGCTGTTTTCAACCTCATCTTTCGTGGTGAAAGTTGATGACATATCCGGTAACTGAGATAAGGAATATGTGACTGCGAGGAGAAAGAATTTGTTGTATTTCGAGCTCAGCAAGATTAGAGGTCTGGGATCATATGCGCGTCTGAGGTTTAAGGTCCACGAGTCATTAAGCAAGCCGCAAGCGCCCTCAACAACAACTTCCTTGGCTGAATGATTGGATGAGTGGCTGATCACCCAATCAAAGGAGTCGTAAGTGATGCGGATGACATCATTTGGGGAATAGTAGTGCTCGAACACTTCACTATGCTCCGCCCTTTTCAAAGATGTTTTTGACATTCTTGGCCACAATAGGAGCGTTTTTTGGCCATGTAATCCGTACCAAAGGCACGAGAAAGCATATCGCGTCATGCGGAGGGCGAACACCAGAGGTTGGGCCACAGAAAACATGAAGGCGATACGATATGGGCAAGCAATGTCGAAAGCTGGGAGAATGGAGGATCCAATGTAGAAGAGAAATGTAAGGGCCGCGATGACTGAAATAATCCAGCATATTGGGGTCGACAATTGAGAGACATAAAGAGCAAGCCCAACGAGGAAAATTGCAACTGAGCTATGTAGGATCATTGGAAGACTCTCAATGATGTTTCCGAGTTTCCATTTAGTAAGTCCCTGAAAGCGAAAATGGCGGATGAGAGCACGGGTCTTGGCACCGCCAGGAACAATTGCGGTATAAGCCTGTTCACAGGCTGCGTTAGTAGATAATCTTGAGACTTGGTGGGAAAAGGAGGATACAAACTTGAATCCACTGTTTGGCCAGAACTGTCAGAAGGGCGGTTGATAACGAGAGAGCGAGACTGGTGAAAAATAGTCCATTGACCCATGCGTCAAGCGAAGTGTAGGTTCGGCTTCCGGGGATGAGAGATGTTACGGGGACGGCGCTTATATTGCTTCTATTTCCAGCGGCTCTCAATAATTGATTGGTTTCGAAGAGGAGGGATGCGATAATCTGCGTGTTATCTGGCTGAAGTGCTTGAGATGGTTGAGCAACAAAGGTTGAGACCACTGCTGAGAAGAGGGCAGCCTGGATTTGGACTCAGGGAGAGAGGTAAGGAATACGTATCCTTCGACAACTTACGAAAACTAGAAGACCGTCAATGATGTTTCGAAAGCCTTGAATCATGTCTGCATCGTAGTTCTCTGCTTCGTCAAGATAAACCTTCCAGACGCGGGCATTCTCCTTCGCTTCTTCTCCCGGCTTCTCGGGGCTATATATCTTAGTGTAATCGTAATTACGACCACCTGAGAATTGTTATCAGAACTAACTCTTCCAACAGAAAATGTGACATTACCAAAGAGGTCTGGCATTCTGAGAGTCGAAGAGGATGGAAGCAAGTAGTAATGCAGTCAGTGGTTTCCGATAGATTTCACAGCAATCATTCACAGCCTGCGTGGCAATCAGTGACTCAGCGTAAGTACCTCGCCCGGGGTAAGTAAAAGAAATTTGGAATTGAGTCGGACGTCAGGTCCTTCAGGCCGTCCTGGAATGTGTTCGGTGTACATTTCAGCGGTGTACGCACAATTCAGCTAGTTTCGTGTCTCCTTGAGTCGCAAAGGAATTACTAATACTGCGTCGCCGTTTAGCGCAGGATCGTACCATTTTCTATGACTGTCATGCAGCTGCCAGGGATCTCTTCAACCAGCCCAAACGGTCAGCGTCCAACCCAGGCGTGCTTCGAGGTATGAAGGCGAGGTAGTTTACAAAACTTTCAAGTCAATGTTCCAAAAATAGGAAATAGTCCGAGATTATACCGCGAACTTTATTCCCTCAACCAGCCTTCAACCTCGAAGCACGCCTGGGTAGGAGGCTGCCAAACAGTGATTAGAGTGCTGTCAAGCAACGTTGCTGACAACCTGTACGGTCAATCAAAATTGTCGTGACAATCAGCTGAGTGACCGCGATTCGTTGTAAAAGATGGCCCTTGGTAGTCCTGCTACCCACCAATTAGGCACTGCGAGTCTTTTCGCTGTTCAGCTTTGTAACTCTTCTTCCCAATTCTGGAATTACATATCATGTCAAGTTCTTGAAGAGAAAGAAATTCAGAATGCTATCTCTGCAGCTCGTACTGGAACGGGTGCGTTCATTCTGCCATACACTCTCGCACGACATTTCAACTTTTGTTATAGACTGAGTCCGAGTCTCACCATTGATGCAATCACACTCATCCTCCTTTTCAGACGCTAAAATCCTTCTCGATCTCTATGTACAAACATTTTCTTTGACAAGTTGCGCTCATATGCTCCCTATCTTCCCTCAAGTACCTCGAACACGTCATCGCCCTAAGAAACCTATCAGCGGCTCAAAAGTACAAGATATACCACACGTCAACTACGAAAGAGCATCGCTTTCATTATTCATCGGCCTAACTCCTGTGCCAGAAACGAGTGGGAGGTACTGTGATAGATGTGATTGGGAATTTGCAGGGCGTACAATAGATGCGACCCCAGTCTTGTTGCTCTACTCCTTGGGCTCCTCTACTTTGAAGTATTAAACTATGACTCTGCAGGTCGACGTGTGCTTCGTGGGTTGAGATGGGGCTGGCTGGTACACAAGCTAAGGTCAAGGTCCGAACGTCTCTGTCATTTGCTTGCGCTATATGTGTATCCTGAAAAAGCGTAGAGCTCAATTCCCCATCAATGATCCTGCGCCCCGGAATCGGCTATGAGACCTGCTAGCTTCCGTCTTCCATCAGTCCATGCTTGTTCCTTCAAGCATCCCCCTTGTCCTTAACAGACCCCTAGACGTCTTCTCGCCATCCTCATCGCGACCTTTATCTGCCTATTGACCCGTGCCAGTGCACGCTCATCCAGGACACGACTTACAAATTGCGCCGGATGATCCAAGGGCTCTCGATGTAGATGTGGGATTAAGAGCTTGAGTTAGCGGAGCGTATCTGGGGTTCGTGTGTGTTGAATTAATA